TGGTTGGATATAGAGGTTAAGGGTTTTAGTTGCACAAAGGGATTTCATTTCTTTTATTTGATTAGCTTGAATGGGAGCCCTATAGAAGATGATAGAAATAGATGGAAGAACAACAGCTACAGACAAGGCAATGGACTTTCAATTATATTAGTAATTGAGGAGGATTTTCTTTAAATAATAGGGTATGTGGCTTTTTCATTTTATTCTATTTATGTAACCTGGTAATTTCCAGCCCATTGGTGTTCTTAGGAATTATATTGTGTTCGATCTTTGCATCTATAGAACCTATGAAGCCTGCCTACAGATCTGTGATCCTTGAACTACATACTACGCATCTTGTTTCTATACCAATGCTGGACCCATCCACAGAATACTATCTGTTTAACTTGTAGGATTCCTTAAACTCTGAAATAGTGTAACCTCATCTATTATATATGATGACATGGTAGATATTGGATCCTGGTAAGTTTAAGTGTAATGGTACAGTAAGTAATTTAAGCAAGTACACTGACTCTAGTAAAATAAGGACAAAGGTTATAGAACTATAATGACTTCTAGATTACGTAGTAGTTCTGGGCCAGGCTGTGTTATATTTGATAAGCATAAGAAAGTTGAGATGATAGGTGGGGGCGAGTTTCTGAATGGAACTAGGAGAAGTAATAATAAGATATTCAGTTGTTTACATAGTTTTTGGAATAGGAATAGGAGTAGGGCTGACACAAGAGTTGTGAGGTAGATATATATATGTTGAATATAGTTCCACAGGAGAATTATAAAGATAAAAGTGTGGGACAGAGATTCTGGTTGGTTAGTGGATAGACTTGTAGCAGACTGGTAAATTTTTAATCTCTGTGGAAGATAACTAACAGGGAGTTATGAATTTGCAAGGAAGAATAGAATAGAGCAGGCGGTACAAATAGTAGTATTAAAGGAAAAGGGATAAACAAAAGGGGTGAATTAGAAGGGAGAAAACTGTGAAGCAGAAAAGAATAGATAGTAGGATTGTGTAATAAAGAGGAAATTAGAGAGTGGATTTCAAAGAAAGTGAAATGAATGGAGCAAATACTGTGAATGGTATGATGGTCTAGTATATAATTGTAAGGGAACAGGTGAGGGGGAAGACAAGTGAGGATAGACTAGAGCTAGTTATATTTTGTCTCAGAAATAGTCAAGAAGGATAATGAAGATGGAAGTAAAGTAGCAAAAAGATAATGATAAAATGTGTTGGTTTAGGGTTAATCATATCTTTTAAGGCTGGAGATGTTAGGGGGTAGGTAACTCTAAAGTCAAGCGAGTATACACTAGGCCCTGTAATCTTCTGTCTCGGAGATAGTCAAGAAGGCTCGTAAAGATAGAAGTAAAGTAGAACAAATATATTGATAAGATCTCTTCTCCGTTCGCTGATGATAGATTTAAAAGCTCGGGAGGGATCTCGATATTTATATTCCGCATCTGGGTCGTCGCGGCCTACATCCAATCCCTTACTGACTATGTACCTGTCATACTAACGATTCAGTGTCTTCGCGGTACGAACACCCTTTGACCCTAAAAACTAACTTCTCCACTCATTTCCTGAGTGGAGTGATCAGCTCCGTCAAAGGACTTATCAATGACTCTTCTATGTGCATAGCTTAGAGTACATGACAAAGATAACAAACTCAACCAGTGAGTTGTTATTAACCAATCGTCAACTATTCTCCGGATGACCCTAGTTGACGTGAGCAGAGGATAGTGCGGCTACTTCTCGGAATAGCAGCACCAAGACTTCCAGAGGTCATAGCTCAACAACCAACTGACCAATCTGGTTCAACTAAGTCTTATCTTGTAGAGCGGAGCTCCTCCTAAGTTATCCAGCGAAAACCCCTCGGTCGCATGTCTCGTATCTCCGCAGGGCGGGCTGCATAGATGCCGTGTCATATCGTGCGCTAATATCTTAGCGCTACGAATACTATGGCGGGGCCCGAAGTCGAACACGTGACCTTATGCATTTAGTCACGTGCCGCACCGATTACGCTTCTATGTGTAACAGGAGAGAGACCTTGATCTTAATGTCTTGTATTTGGGTTGTGAAGGATAATATCTAATCCCTCACAAAGGATGTACTTAGGATACGAACAATATAGTATCTTTGGAGCAGAAGCTAGATTTGATTATGAAGACTAAGAAGTTTGCTTTTTTACAAAATAGAATGCATAGTACTAGTGGAAGGACTTATTAATAACTCTCATATGTGAATTGTATAGAGTACATATTATAAGGATGAGTAACTTAACTAGTTGTGAATTGATATAGACCAACTAGGAAGTAGCCTAGAGATAAGTTGGTTTCGTAGAAGCAGAAGGAGATTGAATGTGACTTGCAGAATAGTTAGAAGTAGTGGCACAGAGATTTGCAGATGTTGTAGCTTGAGAGCAGAACTACTAATTTGAGTAAACAGAGTATTATGGTAGAGAGAAACGTATGTTTTATATTATTAAGTGAAAAGCTGAGAGTTATATCTCTTGTATCATCATGGAGGGGACTGCTCTGATAAGACAAGATTTTATGTAATATTATCAGGGTCTCATAGGGACTACAGTAGGGTCTAGAATTGAAGATGGAATCTTTAGGATTTAGTAGTATGCAGCAGTGATCATACTTTTGGGTATAACACTAATAAGCTAGTATATAGATTTCAGAATGAGAGAGGAACAAAGTAAAAGTTGTAGATAGCAGTATTGTATAATACATAGTAAACTCAGGAGTGACATTTGAGAGAGAAGAGGGGTGGGACAGAGAGGGGAGAAAGTACTATGGTATATTGTAAATTAGAGAAAGAAGGAGAAGTATGAGAACGAGGTGACATTTAATAGGATTATAGAATATTGGATGAAGTAGAGGGAGTAGCTTGGGAACAAAAATAAGAGAACTGGCAAGTAGAAAAAATGATTGTTTTTAGAACTGGTTTGGTTGATAGATCTGGGAGTTAAGAAATTTAAGAGTATAAGAGTAAAGAATTTTCTGGGTTAAATAGAATAGTCATGTTAAGTGTAGAGTGTTAGAATAGAGATAGTAGGACCAGAGTAGGAAGAATATTTAGCAGTAGTCTTAATACTGAGGGGAGAAAAAGAAGAAATCTGGAGTAGAATAAGTAGGGTTAGAGAAATGTGGGGAAAGGAAGAAAATAGGTAAGAGAAAGGGGGGAATATGGGCTTAGAGAGAAAGAGTATTGATTAAATGTTTGAAGGTTGAATGGGATGTAAGGAGGAGAGGAAAAGAAAAGAGGAGTATGGTAAATAGATATTCAGAAAAGTTTGGAATAGCAGGGGATTTTTTGAGCAACTGGAAGAGAAAAAGAGAAGTTACTCAGCCTTGGGGTAACTTATAGGATTCACTGGCCTGGTAATAGTTACTTGAAACCTCTCCTTCACTAAAAGTTATGGAAAACCAGAACAATGACTTCCTAGATCACCCTGGACGAAAACAAACATGGTGAACTGGTTCTAATTTGTGATGTAATTAATTAGTTTGGAGAAAATCCTATTACATTCATCTGCAGAGAGGGTTATTTGGAATTTAAAAATGTAAGTATTTTAGATTTGGTTTGCTGCAGGGGCGGGTTTTAGTTCTGCAGCACCAGATACATAAAATACTATGAGTTGTGAGATGGCCAGGTAACTCCTGTTTTTCCATGTCTAATTACTTAACAAATCGCCTAGTAGTGCGAAGTGCAGGGAAGGGAAGGGACGAGGAGAGGTGAGAGGTGAGAGGTGAGAGGTGAGAGGTGAAGGGTTAGGGTTAGGGTTAGGGTTAGGATTTGAAAAGAACAGAGGCGGCTCAAAAAACAAACGGTTGACTATCTTTGCGTAGGAGGTTCAAGAGACAGTTTCACTGTTGATTGAGCTCTTCAGGACCGCAGCAATGGCCTGTATATATAGAAACAGGCAACGTGAACTTAGGACAAAAAAACTATTCCTAATCCGGATGGACAGTCATATCGTCCAAATCCGGCACACTAGTATTTCCTAGTCTGTACTAGTTTGAGCTACACTAGGCCCAAAAGAGTAAGCAAGACCTAGACTATTTAGGGTTCAGGGTATAGGACATAGGGCTAGGGTTAGAGGTTAGGTTAGGGTTCCTACCGCTTAGGGCAACTGAAGGTTGCCCTTAGGGGTTTGAGGTTTGAACTCAAATGCCTCTACCCAATTCAAGCAGTCTGTTTTAACTGTTGAGTTGTCCCCCTGTTCAGGAGTCGGATACCCAGTGGATTAGCCGGGATATTTTCAAAGCGTTTTCTGCAAACAGACCTTAGTCTGTTCTATCCTTCTTCTCTAAGGTCCATGGATGCTGTAAGGTTATTATTGGATACAAGAGTATTTGGTCCATACGGTCCGGTTTCTGCCGTCCGGCCTACAGGGACTTCGGGCCAGAGATACTCACCCATGGCAGTGCTGTCATGGCTAGGCCGTCGCCAGAATACCAGAGGATCTCATCCCTGTAGCGAAAGTATGTTGGTCCAGGAGCTTCAGCCTTTAGTTTTTGGACTTTTTTTTCTTGGTTACTTAGGCGATGTACTTTATCCCAAGCTGAGCACTTTGAACATAGTTCATATTCATAGTGCAATACTAGGTGCTCCATGGAGCACATAGTACTACTCCATCAGAATCTGTATCCATATATTCCGCGTCGCTGATTTTTCCAGCAAGTTCTTGTCTATTCACAATTGATGCGAAGGAAAAATACTGCATTCCATGTCCAATTTTTCCAACATGGTCTCCCAGTGATTTGGTACGATTGAACGCAAGAAGCATTCTTTGTTCACTAAAGTTGGCAATCCATTTCTCCTTGTCGGAAGATAGTGGATGACTCGAACCTTTGTCGACGATAGCATCTGGGATTAATCCGACCCGTACCCCTTCCTACACCCCATTGTAGGTAGATTGCATAACTGTTGGTGGAGCCTTGTGGGACTTTTTACAGTTATTTCGGCGGGCCCAACCCTTATTAATCTCCCCATGTCCCCAGGAATGAAGACCTTGAGGTGGGCAACCACGTGCTACCAGAATCTCCACATATTCTAATATCGCTGCGTCATAGTAATCTCTTTTACTGGAGCAGGTGGCTATCTGGGTTAATTCTCTGATGTATCCTGCTTTTTTAACAGCTAAAGGATGAAAGGAGTCCCATGGTATGCGCATGTAGTGATTTAACGGCTTCTGAAACAGTTTATAATCTACCCTTGATTCGTTTGAAAGAACAATTAAATCCAAATCAAGAAACGGACTAGGTTTCTCTGATTCTACAACTACGTCCCACGTGAATGACAACACAGCTAGATGTATTTCTCCTAACATGACTTGAGCCTATTGTTCGGTCTCAGCCAGTATTCCTACGGATATATCATCTATATATCCAGTATACCGTAAAACATCTTTTCTTTCCCGAAATGCTTTTGTAGGTCCCTCTTGTTCATATAATGCAGCGTATAGGTTGGCGATTTCTGGTGAACAAGGAATACCCATAGTCAAGCCTGTACGTTGTTCATACGGGAGGTTAAGGAATGTGAAGTATGATCCTTGAAGGACACTATGTAGGAGTAACATGGTGTATCTGTTATCCAAACCGGACTCAGAACTGAGTTATTTTTCAACTCTGTCTACGCAATTGAGACGTGGTATGTTTGTATACATGGCACGTACATAGCCACTGCAAATAAACAGTCTCTTGCCGAATGGACAGGAAAGGGTATAATCACATTTTTCAATGTTTCAGTTACGTCCTGTATGGATTGAGATATTCAACTGTAGTTATTGACGAAGCTTTTTACCCTTTGTTGCACAACTTTTGCAACGTTAGTGGAGACCCAACTATGAGATGGAATGATGGGCCTGAAAGCCCAAGGGATCTTATGAATTTTAGGAATCCCATACATTACTGGAATAGTAGTGTGATATTGCAGGCCTTCATTAATAAAGTCACGTTCCTGTTTGTTGAGTCCACCAAAAGCAGCATGAATAGGTGAATCCACAACCTTTTTTATGTATGCAACTGCGTTTTCCCGGAGTTGGAGGAATTCCGCAGGTCGTGTAATTTTTCGATATACATCACCATTGGCAAGGTGGGACATTCCCTCATTTCTCTCACATTCTGCAGTGAAGACCACCAGCCCGAGGTTTTTGTCTGACTATCTGATGAGGATATCACCCGCCCTCATTAGTCGGTTGATTTCTCCCAGGTCAGGTCTACGGAATCCTGCCTTTGGGCCTAGCGCGGTACGAGTGTTATCTACTAAAGCAGATAGCTTACTCCATCCATTCGCTAAACCATCTTCAATAGCATCGGTGGCTTCTGGGGCATCTGATTTTTCCTTGTAGGTTAATTTCAGACGCGGGTTCCAGTTTTGATCTTTTGCATGCTTATACCAGAACCATGACCAACGAATAGAATTGCACATTTCTACATAGGCTAAGCGACACAGAGTGGTATTATAGTGTACAGGCATAAGCAATTTTAAGTTTACACCAAGGTCGTAGCGGAGTTTATCCGATAGACTTATTCTCTCCATCACGTGTGGTCCTGGCCATAACCTCTGGCGCGCTTCGACAAGCTCGAGAGGCGTACGACTGAACAGAACCTGTGATTGTAGGTGGGGTGGTAAGCTTATTATCTTATCCGGGTAGGAAGAGGGTTTATCAAAGGACCAAGATTTCATACATATTATTTCTTGGGCTTTGGCTTCTTCCCGGCCTTGCGGACGTTTTTTCTGCCGCCGGTTTTCGTCTTGCGAATACCCGTGGGTTTGTTTCCTTTTGCTTGAGTTTTCGTTTTCCAGTGGGGCCCTCTTTCGCTTATTAGCATGAGATCCAATTATCATATTAGAAATCTTACTTTTCACTTGGGTCTTCCCTTTGATGCCAGCTGCTTTGATAGCCTCAGCGACTCCCTTCTTGACCGTAGCGTCAAGCGATTGGTTACCGGGGTCGGCTATCCCACCATTAGCGTTATCCTTGGCATGGGCCTTGACTTCTTCCTTCAAATCTACAGCCGCGATCTGTATCCGGGTCAACTCTATGGCCCGGGTGGCAAAACCAGGAACAGTATTTACAGTTTGCTGGTACGAGGCGATCAACCAGTTTGAGTAGAAGACCTTTCCTGGGTGTTCGGCTTTTGTAAAGCCCTGCAACGTTTTAGCCGCCGCCATGTCACGTTTCCACGCAAGCTCGAGCTTCGGAGTGTAAATGTTGGGCGACAAGACCTTTGACAGCAAGTGGTTCATTTCGTCAGACTTGATGGCGATTATTTCATCAAGCATAGCGATTGCTTGCTGTCTCGTGAGGGTTTAGAGATGTCCCACAACGTCGTTTCCTTTCGCTGACTTGTAAACAGCGGTCAGTTGGAGGTCGGGGGCTTTCCCTCTTGGCTGCAGGGCTGGTGGCAAACTTCCAGTAGCCTTGTGGGTTCGAAGTTTTTTCAACGATGAATCAACATTGCCGACCTTCCTCGAAGCATCATGCAATTGCTTGATGATAACTTGGAGCTGCTCCCTGAATGTAAGGGGAGTAGCAGAAAAAAGGTGTGCCAGGCGTCCAACCAGGGTGGCGAGCTCCTGGGCTTGGTGGGCAGAGTCGACAACCGCCGTGAGATCAACACCGTCCAGGACCATGTCATCGACGTCGAAGATCTGGGATTGTTCTGCATGCTCGAGGACCGAGCCAGGGTCCATTGCCGAGAGTCGTAAGCCTGACATGTCTGTGCTGTGGAAGCGAGACATGAGGCGGTCGCGATGCTGGTTTTCATTTTGAATTATCCTGGCGGGGGACAACCAAGAGGACGCATTATTGCTTGTCGGGGAGGGGAGCAGTGCCTCGAAGGGAGTTAGGATTTGACAAGAATAGAGGCGGCTCAAAAAACAAACTGTCGAACTATCTTTGAATAGCAGGTGCAAGAGACAGTTTCGCTGTTGATTGAGCTCTTCAGGACCGCAGTGATGGCCTGTATATATAGAAACAGGCCACGTGAAATTAGGACAAAAAAACTGTTCCTAATCCGGATAGACACTATTTAGGGTTGAGGGCATAGGACATAGGGTTAGGGTTAGAGGTTAGGTTAGGGTTCCTACCGCTTAGGGCAACCGAAAGTTGCCCTCAGGGGTTTGAGGGTTAGGGTTAGGAGTTAAGTATATTGACTATTAGGGACAGGAGTTGCCCTCAACAGGACAAACTACAGCCAAGCGAGACACCAAAGAAGTACTAAACCCACATCCCACAGCTAGGGAGACTACCACTACCATAGCAATAGCACGAAACAGAGCTAAGAACATGAGTCCAAGAAGCAACCACGGGGTTGGGAACAAGGCCTCCAACAGGCAAGACCGGGATGTGGGAATCCCACATCTAGGTAACAAATGAGACCACCGGACAAAGCCAGCTGGTGGGGACACAGGTGAGGACTGGAAGTAGGCCCGCAGTCCAGGCCAGCAAGATCAGAGGTGCAAGGCCCACGGTGATGGCCAATGGGATCTGAGGTACATGGCCCACAGTAATGGCCAACAGAGGAGATAGAAGAACCAAGTCAAATCAGAAGCATGATAGTGGAAGATAAAGAACTGCAATCAGAAGAGCAGCAGTAGGGTGAACTGGTCGACCAGTGGAGTAATGGGTAGCCAAGCAAGAGTACTCAGAAAACAGGAACTGGAGATTGAGACAGCAAGTGTAGTAATTAAAAGCCAACAAAGGGGTAAGCAACTTGCGGAAGATTTCAGTAGAGAATGAGGAGTAGGTTGTGGAAACAGAAGATGAGGCGTAGGTTGAAATGTTCTGTGGCAGAGAAGGATTTGTTGTAAACCACAAAGGTGCAAGATGAAGAAGCGGGAGACCTGGAAATGAGAAAAGCAGAAAATAGATGACCGAAAGGTACTGAGTAATAAGGGATAACAAAAAAAGAAAGAGAAACCCAGTACACCAAGAGAAAGTGTGGTGGCAACGGTAAGAGGTGATAGCAGAGTGGGGAGCAGGAAACTATCATAGACAATTGCAAATGTGTATCAAGGTCTCACGAGTGAACAAGGTCGCATGGCATGAGCCATAGTGACCTGCCAAAAATCCAGTAGAGTGTGTGCTTTGCTCCATTCTTGTTCATTGAGCAAAAAGTCCAGGATAGTATACTTAGGGGGTGTTTGGCCCGCCATGATTCTGATTTGAAATCATGATTTGACTTGAAATCATGATTTCAAATCAGGTGGTGTTTGGCGTACCCACATTGTAATCTGATTTCAAATCTGATTCTGATTTAGAATTTTTGTGCTTGATTTGGGGTTTTGTTGCATGATAATTCTTTCACTAATAGGTTAGGGTAAATTGATAGATTACAACAATCAACTAGAGAGGGTTATTTTTTTTCCACCCAAATATTATGAGAGTATTTAATACAAAGCTTTGTGCCTAAAAGAGCTACGAATTACAACAGCCACCTTTTTTCCTTCTTCCAATTCTCATAAAGATTGTGCACTCAAGTCTTCAACTACACCTAGCAAGCCCAACTTCAAAGACGATGATGACAACCTTAATGTTAAAAGGCCGCAAATCCAAAGCTGTCTGGGATGACAACAAGGACAAAACCCTCCTCGATGAGCTTCTCAAACAATGCCATTTAGGCCGCAGAGCTGGCAACAGCTTCAAACCACGGGCCTGGAATGAAGTAACCATGCTATTCAACAAAGTATTCTCCCCAGAGCTTAATGTTGAGCAAGTGAAGACTAGGGTACGGCGAGTAAGTTTAATACCTCTATAAATTCTGAGAATAAATTAAACTAATCAAGTATCAACAGCTGAAGCAGTCATATGAGGCCTTTGAGACATTGAGAGCAAATTCTGGCTTTGGATGGAATGAGGCAGATCAGGTAGTAACTGCGCCAGAGGAGGTTTGGGCGGAATATATTAAGGTAAGCAGAGTTATATTGATACAAGCACATAGAAAATATTATACTAACATCACTATCTACACAAATATAGGCACATCCAGAAGCACGCCAATTCAAAAACTGTACTTTGAAGTTTTATTCTGAGATGAAGGAGTTTTTCAACAACACAGTAGCTACCAGAGAGCTAGCTACTGCTACTGGAATGAGAACACAGAAGAGACAGCATTCTGAGTATACCATTGAAAGTAGCAGTAGTGATACTGATCCTGATGTTGATGTCTCTTCACCAAATTCCTTTTCTATAGCCTCCATCGATCCGCTGACTCCTATCATTCATCAGCCTCAAGCGAAACAAACCCTTTCCATTGAGCATTCTTTAAGTCCTCACATTCAAACTCTAAACCATGCAAGGAGAAAGCAACCTCGAACAAGCCCTACACATGTCAGCATTCAAGCAATAGCCGGTAGCGTTGAATCTCTAGCTACCTCAATCCGTGAAACCAGTCAGAAATTTGAGACACCATATTTGGGTTCGACAAGTCGTACAGTTGGCCCCTTGGATTCATCTATTGCCGTCCCGAATAATCAGAATGGCCGTGGGCTTCCTGTACCAACAACACCAATGGATCATGCTGTTCTTGTTTTGAACTGAATGCTAGAGGGAGGGGCTATTACAATCAATGAGTACCAGGAGGCTTTGGTTATATTAAAAGTGAATCCTATTGAGGTTTCTATTTTTTCTTTTGGTCTTCCGATTATGCAAACTGACTGGATTGAACGGCATGTTCGACTTCTTTGTATTTAAGGTATAATCTATATTTGCTTGTCAAATCAAATATTTTCATTGTTTTATTTGATTTCTAAATATGATAATTTAACATGAAGTTTTATAACTGGGAGGCTTTATGAGTATAATAATCCTTCCACATCTCTCTTGCGATTCTAGATCACATCTTGTCTGCCCTTTTCTTTTGGCGCCGGCTGATAGTCGATTGCGAGGGTGGGTTATTCTGAAATGCTTGACCGATATCAGTGTTTTGTTGAATTGATTGTATGTCTTGCCCTTCAATGTTTTCATGGTTGAGACTCCTTTCAGATAGATTTTCTTGAGCCTTATCTGTAACCTCTTCAAGCTGCTTTACTGTGTCCAGTAATGCTGAGTCTTCTATTTGCCACAAACATTGACCATAAGTTATCTATATATCACCCTGGACTCTGCAGTAATTTAGCCAATAACCTACCTCTATCATCATTCTCATTTTCCTCATACCCATGCATTGTCCCTCCAGCTCTGGTAATAAAATTATGCAAGCAGCATAAAGCTCTAATCAGCTTACCTTGTGTTCCCAGATCTTAATACATTGGCTTTAGTAAGATCCGAAAGCGCGCCTTAAGGGCTCCAAGGATTCTTTCAACTACATTGCGAAAAGATGCATGTCTGAGGTTGAAAAGTTCCTTTGCATTTCGTGGTCTAAATATATATAATATACTATGTTAGCTATTTTTCCAAATAGGCTTTGCATTTAAACATAAATCGTAGAGTTATCCTACAAATAGATTATAAATTAAAAAAAATGCAAACTTACCCCTCTTTTGCCTGTGCAAATTCTTTTAAATGGTACCGAGTAGCCCGATATGGTACAAGAAGTGAAGTTGAAGATGCATAACCTGCATCTGCAAGGTAATACTTACCATCAGGGATTTTAAATCCCTTTTCCTTTGCATCTTTAAGCACTCCGGTGTCATGAACAGATCCTGCCCAACCCGCAAGAACATACTGACATGTAAAATCGAACGAGCAGACGACCAAGATATTTTGCGCTGTGAAACCCTTACGACATCGATATATGGAGCCAAGTTTTGCAGGAACTGTAACTGGAACAAGGGAACCATCTAGTGCACCAATACAGTTCTTGAAATAAGGATAAAACTTTGGTGATTTACTGATCTCGGGAGGGACTGAAATATATCTATGCCCCATTGCATCTGGCTGCCTCATATAGTACTTCTCTAGTTGCAAAATCGCTTCAAGGACCTCATGGAAATAGCATGAAATCGTCTCTCCAGAGTGTCTGAAACACTCGTGTGCTGTTCAGTTCGATGCATTGGTTGAGACGGTATAAAAAAACATATGCACTTGGTGTTTGATAGTATAGGCTTTTTACTAGCTACGCCTGTTACTAGCTACGCCACCTGATTTTCTGCCCCCGCACATCAACCTTCCAACCACCGATCGCATCAGCAACACACTGCCCAATCACTTCCTACACAAAAAAAAATGGCTGAATGGAATCTTGAAGATGCTCTGCGGATTATTCAGAGTCCGCAAAATAAGCTATCACCAAGGAAGGTAGCAAAGGTCACTGGTGTCTCATACCGAAGCCTTCAGCGTCGCCTCTTGTGTAATCAGACAGCTGTTGAGCGCGACAGTAATGCTCAACTGCTTACACCGGTGCAGGAGAGTATTCTTGAGGCGTATATCATCTATCTGGCACAGACACAAAATATTCCTACTGGCTACCGAGTCCGGGAATTGGCTTTCAAAATCGCTCAAGTCGCAGATCCTAGTGCTACTCTCCCATCCACGACCTGGCTTTCTGCCTTTATTCACCGCTCACAATTCCTCGAACGAAAGAAGCATGTAAAGCTTGATTTTCCCTGTGTCCGAGAGTCTGGAGAAAGACTCATTGGCCTTTTCTTCGAATTGCTTACCTACTATGAGGAGAGATTTGGTATTACGTTAGACAACGTATGGAATCTTGATGAGGCAGGATTCAAATGTGCAGAATCCCGAGCTGGAGGCTTTGGAGTTGCTCCTCTAGGAGCTGCTCACACTGTCTCGCATGACTCTTCAGAGTTGGTAACTGTTCTGGAGGTTATTTCTGCGACTGGGAAGATTGGTGTACCTCTTTTGATTTATAAGGGAGTCCACTTTATGGAAGCCTAGTTTCCAACCTAAAAACAGGATGAAGTAACTGTATCAACCTCCAAGACAGCCTTTATCGATGGCGATATCTTTTATGAGTGGTTTCACGATTACTTTCCATATGCCCCTGATCATCACTGGTCAATCCTCCTCCTTGATAGTCACTCCTCACATACATCTGATAAATTTCTACACGAAGCACTAAGGCGAAAGATTATTCCTCTATTTTACCAGTCCCATATGACCAACATCCTTCAGCCCCTCGATCGCTCTTGCTTTGATGTTGCAAAGCAATTTTTTCGCGCAGAGAATACTCGGGCATTTGCCGAAGGATTTGAACCTTCAAAATGGTCATTTTTTGAGACATACCTGTCGATCCGGTCGAGGGCCTTTTCAGCATACATCATCCAAGGTGGCTGGAAGCGGGCAGGCATCTATCCACACAACAAACAGCTTGCTATCCGTGAATTTCGTCGGCAGATGAACCTACCCCTTGATACCTCCTGCTCCAAGTCTAAAGACTCTGTAGAGGAGGAACAGAGGGCAGAGGAAGTTGGGGATGAGAATATTCCTACTCTAGCAGTTGCTGATCCTTCTTGGAGAGCTGTTCGGGCATCCTTATTATCCGGAAACCCCCAAATTACAATCGCTACCTGTAAGAGGTACTATGATCGGTCTAAGGAAGCAGAGGCACGACTGGCTATTCTGGATACCCAGCTCCAGTCTAGGAGAAATGAACTGGCTGAATTTCAGTGAAAGCAGTCTAAGAAGCGGACTTGCATTCCTAGAAACAATAAGAAAGTCTTCCACTTTCTTCCTGAGGTGCAGAATGATGAGTGCCATCCCCTGGCAGCCCACCCCGAAGAGGCTGGAGACTATGAGAGTGCATGAGGTCTCATATCTTTTTTTTTTCAACGGAATTTTTGTTTTTCTACAAATGATTATTTCCTTTCTTCACTTTTTTGAAATCAAGCCTATGGGGGTGGAGAAAATTGAATTTTTGTAAGTATGAAGACTCGATGAGAGGGCCGAAAATCAGGTGGCGCAGCTAGTAACTGGCGTAGCTAGTAAAAAGCCTATAGACTTCATAGTATCATGAAGGCCAGCCGGTATCCGCAACATCTGACAAAGTTTTCCGAAAACCTCGAGCTCCATTCGCAGGCATTCTTTGATTCTTGGGGGATTCTCACAGCCTAGTAGCTCATTCGTGTACTCTTGGCCACTGCGTCGGTCTGTTCCAGAATGTAGGTGGCGCTTGTCTTCAGTTTCAAGCAAGAGAGTGACAACTGCTGCTGCAGCCATTATGGATGCTGTTCTCGCTGATGATATCATCTTCGACATTTCAGACTGCGTCACAATATCTTTGGATTGTTCTTCCATTTAGATGTTTCTCTGTATAATAACATTTGATTAACATATCTGAGAGTTTAAAATAATCAAATCATTGTGCTAGTACAAGGGGAGAATAATATTTTTCACATACTAATACTGAATTTGCCGTAATCTCTTCTTGTAATCTGAGTGGTTTGCCATGCTTGAAGATGGACACAGATTGCTCCAGCTTACTTTCATTGATTCTACAAAAGTTTGGATTAAAGAGATCAATTTACAAATGTATATGATAAATAAGGTATGTATATTTAATAGAATTTGTTATTAGATTTGTTAACAATATATTATTACATATATTATAAGTTAAACTTCTCTTGCTACATGCATTCTGAAACATAGTAGTTATACTTGTTATAAAGATTGAAACCTAATTGAAATCAAATCAGGGCGTGTTTGGCACATCCAGATCTCAAATCGTGATTTCCAATAAATCTGATTTAGGTTTTAAAAATCTGATTTCAAAATGCCAAGACCTGATCTCAAATTAGAATCATGGACGGGCCAAACACCCCTTAATGTCATCTCCAAACAGTAGGAGATCCAGCTGGTAAAGTACCTGCTGCTACGGGTTCAAAAGTGGTGAGGGGTACGGCATGCATGTTGTATGACCACTGTTAAAGCGTTTTCCACAGTGACATTTCCTGCCCCACCCAAAGACCCCACGCCTCGAGGCTAGAAACTAAGCCTGATCTGCCCCAGGAGCATGGAGTATGGAATCACAATCACGCCCTGGGGGACGCTCCGAGGGCCTGGTGATCCTCACCAGCTTAGGATCATTGAAAGGAATCTGGGTAAGGTTGCTCCGCTTGTCCGCTATCAGGGTTGTGGTGAGATCATGTTTGGACAGGACATCCCTGTCACCACCTTGGGTGTCTAGTGCATTCTGGTAGAGCGGTGGTGGTAACCAGAATTGCACAAGGAGAGGGTGTACCCGGGACTGGGGCATAGGTAAAGAGCCGAGCGGGGACATCCATGATCCTGCACAAAGCATGGCATGGACAGGATTCTCCATATCAGCAGTGATAAGGTGATGATAGAAGCGGGCAAGGAGATGTCGACATCGATCTTCAAGGGGTAGAATGCCTAGGAGATTCGCGGTTATATATGGTCGTTTGGCATTCCCTCCTGCGATCCCGTTGATACAGACATGATAGGCCTTGCGCATGATTGGCCACTGTGGTGCTCACCTATTGGAGAGGTGATGGGCATACATGAGGGGCATGGAGTATTCCAGCATGGGTGTCAGCATGGTCTTGAAAATCTTGTAGCGTATGTGTGGAGCCCAGGTATCGGAAAACCAAGCGATCGCTCCCCGCAATCTGTGGACACGGGTA